GCCCACGGCAGCCCCTCACCCCCCCGGGCTGCCGTGGGCACGGCGTGGGGCTGCTCTTTTAGGTGCTTGCAAAGTTTGAAAGAGCAGAGTTGAGTGCAGAGGAACAGCCTGGAGGATGTTCCAGCTGTGCTGCAACATGGCCCCATTTGCAAAAATTCCTGTCTTGCAAAAAAACCAGACGGGTGGTCTGACCTTAATTTGTCTGAGATAAATAGGAACCTGCCTGCTGCCTCCTGTCTGGATACATGAAAAGATCTGAGATGAAAGGGAGCCTGATAGAAGAGCTGGGAGCTGAGCGCATCTTTCCCGCGTGGCGTGAGGGATTTGGGGTCACAGCGCTGAGCACGGCTGGGACAGAGCAGCCCTCCAAACCCTGAGCTCCTGGGCAGCCCCTGTCCTGCCCTGAGCGTGTGGCCAACTGGGACACTGAGCAACTTTTCAAAATTAGCTTTATTTTTCAAAGATGTTAGTTTTTAACTGTTGTTTCCTATGGAAAAAAATCTGGTTTCTATTCTGTGTGCCCGTCCTTCCACCCCAGCGTTGGAACCTGTTTCCAAATTCCAGAAGAATCTGAACCAGGTCTGGCAGGGATCTGGTGAGCTCACAGACCTTGCAGAGAAGTTGATGGACCCAGGAGACATCCTTCATCAGCCATGGCACTGGGCACGCCAGGAGCGGCTCTCGGTCTGTTCTGGTGCTCAGTCTGTTCTGGTGCACCACGCCCAGCCGCAGCTGGTGGCACCAGAGCTGAGCACCACGTGTGGGTGGCACCCCTGTCCCCGAGCACTGTGCATCCTGGTGGCGCTGGGGGCACCGTCCTGCTGATGTGCACCAAACCCCTCAGCCGGGTGCGCTCCGGGAGGTCTCGTCTGCTGGCACAGAGGCTCCGTCGTGGGTCCGTGGGGACCCTCCCGGCTGGGTGGCTGTGCTGCTGCTGCTCCCATCACGGGTCCATGGGGACGCTCCCAGCTGGGTGGCCGTGCTGCTGCTGCTCCCATCACAGGTCC